AGTCCAGATGACAGGAAGGGAAAGGATAAAAATATTAATAGATCCTGATTAAAACACTCAACAAAATAGGATTATAGGGGAATTTCTTCAACATAGTAAAAAGTATTTATGCAAACCCGAGAGCCAACATTGTTCTCAATAGAGAGAGGTTAAAAGCATTCTCTTTAAGAACAGGAACTAAGCAAGGATACCCACTATCACCTCTCTTATTCAATATTGTATTGGAAGTCTTAGCTATAGCAATAAGACAAGAGAAGGAAGTAAGAGGTATCCAAACTGGCAAAGAGGAAGTAAAATTATCTCTCTATGCAGATGATATGATAGTATACTTAGAAAACTCTAAAGACTCAGCACAAAAAGTACTGGACACAGTTGACCAATTCAGCAAAGTAGCAAGATATGAGATCAACATACAAAAATCAGTTGGGGGGAGCTCTGGTGGCGTAGTGGCAAGAAGCTATACTGCAATCCCAAAGGTACACGGTTCAAATCCACCAGATGCTGTGCTGGAGAAAGAGGGATAATTTCCCCCTGTACCAGTCAGGTCTGATTTGACGGTACATACACAAAAAATAATAAAATAAAATTTTTTTTAAAAATCAGTTGGATTTCTCTACAGTGACAAAGAAAATACAGAACGGGAGCTTAGAAAAGCAATACCCTTCATAATAGCTAATCACAAGATTGAATACTTGGGAGTAAATCTAACCAGAAGTACAAAGGATCTATTCAAAGAAAATTATGAAACAGTACTAAAAGAAACCAAAAGAGACCTGGAGAAGTGGAAGAATATCCCTTGCTTATGGATAGGAAGATTCAATATTGTGAAAATGGCAGTGCTACCAAAGGCAATTTACACATTCAATGCAATCCCAATAAGAACACCAATCCAATTCTTCAATGAGATGGAAAAGGCAATCTCCAGTTTCATTTGCAATGGAAAGAAGCCCCAAATAAGCAAAGCACTCCTTAAAAATAGGGAAAAGGTAGGAGGCACCTCACTCGCTGATTTCAAATACTACTACACTGCCGTGGTGGTCAAGAAGACAGTGTGGTACTGGCACAATGACAGACACATAGATCAATGGAATAGGGTTGAGAACTCAGAAACCAGCCCATCTACCTATGGTCAACTCAGTTTTGACAAGGAGATGAAATCAGTTAAGTGGGGAAATGACAGCCTTCTTAATAAATGGTTTTGGCAAAATTGGAAAACTATCTGCAGAAGACTCAAGCAAGACCCACACCTCACTCCATACACAAAAAACAACTCCAGGTGGATCATGGACCTAGGACTAAAACAAAGAACTATAAACTTCATTAAAGAAAAGCTTGGGAGAACTATAGAAGTCCTAATCCACAACATAAACAGTCTTCCAAGTATCCTGAAAAATCTACAACCAGGAGGGGACAAAATAAATGAATAGGACCTTCTAAGAATCAAATCCCCATGCATATCCAAAAACTTCTCCAACAGGGTAAAAAGCAAAGCACAGAATGGGGGAAAGTATTTGGTAATGACATGTCAGATAAGGGACTTATATCTAGAATTTATAAAATACTTGAGTACCACACAAGATAAAGGTAAATAATCCAATTAAAAAATGGGCACAGGATATGAACAGACACTTCACCAAAGAAGACATTCAGATGGTAAACAAGCAAATGAGGGAATGTTCAAAATCCCTACCTCTAAGAGAGATGCAAAGCAAAACAACTATGAGATATCATCTCACTGCAGTAGGAATAGCAAAATTTAACAGAACAAGGGGAGCTCTGGTGGCCTAATGGCAAGGAGCTGCAACTACAGTCCCAGAGGCGAACGGTTCGAATCCACCAGTTGCTCTGCCGGGGAAGGAGGAAAAATCTCCTCCTGTACCAGTCAGATCTGATTTAACAGTACACGCACACAAACATAATAAAAAAATAAATAAATAAAACTAAAAAAAAATTTAACAGAACAGTAAGCAACAAATGCTGGTGAGGTTGTGGAGAAACTTGGTGGAATTGCAAACACTGTGGAAGGTGGTGTGACACTTTCTCAAAAAGTTGCAAATAGAGATACCATTTGACCCAGCAACCCCACTACTGGGAATATACCCTAAAGAGACCATAACTGACACCCCAGCAGATATATGCACACCAGTGTTTATCGCGGCTTTGCTCACAATAGCAAAGAGTTTGAAACAACCTAAGTGCCCATCAACAAATGAATGGATAGAAAAGCTGTGGCATATTCACACAGGAGAAAACTACACTGCACTAAAAAATAAGGAACTCATGAAATATTATACAAAATGGGTGACCCTGGAGGATATTATGCTGAACTATCTCAGTCACGAAAGGACAAATATTGTATCGTGCCACTGTTATAAAACAGGACTGACATTGGGGTTGGGGGGAGACTGAGAAAGAGGGAATAAATATTGTACACTGCATTGAAACAGATGAGGGAGAAAACTGTTTAAAAGGGATATGTGATTAGGTATCATTGTCATGACAGGAGTCCAGAACGAAGGATGCATAGTGGAGTGGACCTGGGGGGAGGGATTGTAAAGCAATGAAAGAATTTTTCTTTTACTTTTCAAAGAGAAGAGTGAACTGGTGGGTGGGGGCAGGTGGGGACAGGGAGAAAAGTGCAATAATGAATGAATGGAAATCCAAAGTCTCTGTAAATTTTCATTAAAACTAATAATAAAAAAAGAAAAAAATATTAATAGAAGTGAGAATCACAGGAAGAAAGTAGAAAAAAAGTATAATTTGGTTGTGGGTCATGGTATTTGCAATCGCTTGTTATGCATCAGAGAGTTGGACAATTACTAGGGAGGACAGAAGGAGAGTGGATGCTTTTGAGCTGTGGTGCTGGAGAAGGGTACTGAATGTACCATGGACTGCCAGGAAAACAAACAGATTTATCTTGGAGAGGATTAAACCAAGCTGCTCCTTGGAGGCAAGGATTCTGGGGCTTCGTCTGACATACTTTGGACATGTTGCCAGGAGGGACGGGTCCTTGGAGAGGGACATCATGTTTGGGAGGGTGGAGGGACAGCGCAGGAGGGGAAGACCCTCTATAAGATGGATTGATTCGGTGACTGGGGTAATCGGGATGGGTGTGTCAGAGGCGGTGCGGTTGGCGCAGGATAGAGCAGGGTTTAGAGCTATTGTGCATAGGGTCGCTATGAGTCGGAAACGACTCGATGGCACGTAACATTATAATCAACATTATGAAACAAAATGTATATGAATGATTGAGAGGAAAACCAATTTTCTTTGTTAACTTTTACTCAAATCACAATTTTAAAATAAATAAATAATGAACGAACAACTAGGTAGTAGTACCTGGCTGCCATTGTTTAGCATTGTGATCAGATTCCATAAAAGAATTTTTCTAAAAAGGAGAGAAATATAGAGGAGAATTTTAAATTCTTATGGAATTGAAATTTCCTGGGGCCATGACTGATGAACTTCTGAACCATTGCCCTGAGATAATCTTTAGGTTTCAAACAAAAATATACCCTGAGATTTCTTAAAACCAAACAATAGTTTGTCTCAACTAGTAAAATATGTCTGCCTACAGCAACTTAAGAGTATTTATATTATGGCTATGGAAGGGGAACAACTCAGAAAAGGAGAGCGAAAATGGCTGAACTTAAATGACACCTGTAGAAAATGAAATTGGCATATTGCTTTATTGTATATAATCTCAACAGCAGCAATAAGATAATAAAGGTCATTCACTTGTCACTGGAGAAAACTACCTCTGACATGGCTTTGTTGTGTTTTAATGAGAACTCTCTAAGTAGGATCTCTGTCAGAGACGTTCTTTTGTGAAACCGATGAAGTGTGGAGATGAGATGAAAATAGCGTGGAGATGAGATGAAGATGGCAGAAAAGATCAAGGTGCTAAGGCTTCAAAATCAACCAAGAAATAAATGGAGCTGCATGCAAAAACTTGCTCTGAGATTTACTTACCTGTCTTAAGTCTGCAAAGAAGAAAATTACATTCATATCTAACTTATTATTGAAATGTAATTTTAAAATTCATATAATAGGTAATTTTTGGAGTTTTTTTCTATTAAATAATTGTATTGAAAAGTAGTGTAAGGGGAAAATTACCCAGGAAAAGGAAAAATCAAGTTATTCACTATTCTTATAGCCTTAAATGATGGCCTAGGTTGATGATTCATACTTCTCAGGACATCGCCTCAACATCTGCAATCCATAGTAATTAGTATACTACACTAAGGCTTTACGATAGTAAAATTTATGAAGGGAACACTTCCATTCCCTCAACCTTAGTATTATTTTATTACTCAATGAAGCAAATGTACAAGAAGTGGAGCTCTGGTGGCCTAGTGGTAAGAAGTTAAATTGCCAACCTAATATAAGCTCAGTTGCTTTGTGGCAAGCTTAAATACAAAAATGCTTCAGTGGTTCCTCATTACTTTCATGATAAAGTCTAAACACTCACCCTGTTTATCTTCCATCTTATCCTGGGGTTCCAGCTCTACTGGACATTTGCCTGGTCTTACTGAGATATCCCACAGATGCTTTCCCCCCTTTATTCCATTTGTTAAACTTAGAATCATTTTTCAATATTTAATTCAAGCAGCTTTCCTATGCACACCCTTATTTTCTGTGCATGACTCTGGCATCTTGGGCAGGTTTCTACTAAGATAACTTTTCATGTAATCTGTCTTCTCTACTAGATTTCAGGTAAATGTATTGTCAGCACCTAGGATGATGACTGGGAAAAAAAAGACGTTTCAATGAATCATTAAATAGGTGGATGAAATCCATAATAAACAAAAAGAATGACAACTTTTGGTGAAAAGAAGGGAGAAGTTGATGCAAAACTGAATGAGATGAAATGAAGAGGCACCTGACAATAGGGTGTGGGCAAAGCCTCCTGATAGGGGCTGCTATTTGTGTAGCAAATACCCTTTCATTGTAGCCGAGACAGAGTGAAATAACGTGCACCATTGGTATCCTATGTCCAGGTCTCTGTGGCACATTCTGCTTCATGTGCCTTTCCTGTCAAGTTGCAGCTGACATGAATGAATGCTGCTTGTGTGGATCCAGTGTCGCGATGAGGACCCTCTACAGGACCCGATATGGCATCCCTGTGAGTTATGTCCCACAGTGCACAATCCAAACACGCAACTACACTCAAAATAACTGTTACAAGCACGACGTTCATGTGAGAAGTCATTCATTTGCATGTGATTGACGTTTCCTAGGGCATGTAACTTTTTATGCAATTTAAAGATCCTGTACGTCATCCCTTTTTTTTTTTTTAAATTTAGGTTGTTTATTTTTCATTTCA